TAACGAAATCCTCTAGCCCAAGAATTTCTCCTAATCTCTACACTGTTCCAGTCACACGGCAAAAATATCTTTCTCCCACTAATTTAATTAAACAAATAGACCATCATACAAAACTATAAGCTTTTCATTTACCATCTATTTACAAGAATGCCTTCCCTTTACAGCCTCTCTGGCACTGGGCAGGTAGATTATTCAGCGCCTGCTCACTGAAAGTGGGTTTTCTCCGGGCACTCCGGTTCCCCACATCCAAATCAACATCTAAATAGGATCTATAGATCCCAGCCCTGAAAAGGACAGTGTCCTGTTTGTTGTTTTGCTTCTTCCTATTCTACTCTAAATCCAAATCAATTTTATGTTAATAATATCCAAATAATCCAAATTTATGATAATTTAATTGACTAACAATCATTTTCCGATAAGAATTTAACCTATCAAATTATACTCAAAATGTTCATTTAGCCACATTTACAGCGTACTCTTTCTGCATCTCCCTGGTCACGTCATCGACTATACTACGGTAGCCCTCCTCTCCGCGACCGACGTCATCACTGTGTTTATCAAAAAAACAACCGTGCTCTTACCATAATTCCGTCACTGAACTCAACCAGCCAATCACCAAGCAGGACAAATCTCTTCTTCTCCTCTCCTTCCGACTGGTCCCCACTATCGCAGCTTTTCCGGTTATCTTGGAAAAAAACTTTCTACTAGTCAATATGTTCATTCATTCACGTTCTACTACATATATTTTATAAATCACTAGCCTCTAATCACCAAACCTAATTCCGCGTGCGGGGCGAAGTGAAACAAACGTTTTTGACCGCTCCTGATTGTCTATCCGGCTTTATAGATTTAACCTAAGTACAGTACCCTCCCAACTTTAAGTAGCGGAGGAAAGCGTGAAAAGCAGTTCATTAATAGGAAAAGATGAGTTCCTTAACTATACCTAGTTCTACATACTTTGTTTTGTGTTTCTATAGAGAATATTCGTGATGAAGCCGCTGGCTAAACGTAAGACGTTAATACATATAAATTCATTTCAAGTAATAAAAGGCTGTTTTGGGTGAGTGTATTGAAAAAAAGAGAAATTAGTTACGATATTGGAAGCTTTGAAAACCAATAATCTATTCGAGATAAAAATATATTTATATAATTGAAAATGCTACCTTTAATATTTCTCATAATTTAACAGTTGATGACGTATTTTAAATCGATTTTGATATCTTCTGTCTTTTGTTTTTCCAAGTCACTACTCCAGGAGACTTTTCATTCAATTCTGGTTTAGAATCCTTAAAGAACAAACTAGGAGGAACTGCGAAAAAAAAACAACAGAAGATTATGTCTGTCGGAATTTAAAATATATATTCTTCTTTTTGCCAATTTTCAAAATAAAAAGGTTTTTACTTATATTTCTTTATATTAAAGATATATACACTATGTTGTCGTTGGGCTTAAGATTCTTTTACAATATATATATATGGCTTGTTAATGATAAATTCAGCAATAAATAAACAGCACGCACTTCACTTGTTTACAAAATAATATACATTTTCGTATGTATAACAAATTCTTCAACACTATAGATATTATAGGCATATCATAAACACTATATGTGTACTTCTCT